GGGGCACCCCTGGTGCTGTTCACTGGCTGCGTAGCCACACTCCGGAGGTCCTGGAGCAGGAGAAGGGTCGCGTGTAGCTTGCTGTAGGGGCAGAAGTCCCTACGCACAGGCGTCTCAGGCTGGCCTTTCTGCTCAGAAGCCTCCCGGACATCCCACTTTTATTTCTTCCATGAGAGCATGTCCGACAGTTCACAGGCCATCCCTCCTCCCGCAGACAAGAGGAGTTGCCTGGGGCTGGGAGAACCACGGCTGTGGGTATTCAAACGTGGTCGTTAGCTGTGATTGAGTGGATTCCACGCACAGCGGCCCATGTGACAGAGTGCAATTGCCCCAAGGGTTTTCTTGACTGCAGGCTTCATAGAAACCGATCGCCAGGTCTTTCTGGAATGGAGCAGCTGCGCGGGTTCGAACCGCCGACCTTCGTTATTCACCGTGAGCGCACCAGGACTCCTCGGGTAAAGCTTAGGTCAGAGCCTCTTTGAGCACTCAAGACCACCGAGACCCTGGAGAAAGGATCTTCCCCTAAAAACAACAAACATGGGCCGAGAAAGCGATCGTGATATGAGCCAGTGACACAAGGAAGAGAGAGCGGTTTCTCAGGAGCAAGGGAAGGAAACGACCGCTTCGAAAAGAAGCTCCTGAAGTTAATTTTGGAGACAAGAAGGAGAGGGGTGGAGAGAAAAACCCTCAAGCCCTGGCTCACGAAAATTTAATTCGATTTGAACGCTCGCAGCTCGCGCTCCCATCCCCACCCAGGTCCTGCTGCGGGGACAGGGGAGGGGGCGGGGGACAGGGCGCCTGGGTGCCTCAGAGGAGAAATGAGGAAAAGCGAACTGCGCGCAGCTCTTTCCGTGATCCTCTTTCTTCGGGTTTAAATGGAGAGGGAGGGAGAAAAACAAAACAGAAAGAAAGAAAGAAAAAAAAAAACGCAAAAAAACACAACACACAGTTAACCACCTGTCAGGACGGAGGCTACAATGAGGGTCGTGGAAAAAGAGCTTTTCACGCATGCGTAATATATTTGTTCAGCTATTCACTTAATGAAGCTGATAAATGTGGGGCAAAACAATAGTCAAGTTAATCTATTTAGTAAAATGTTTTGAGACTTTCAGGCTGCGTTAAGGAGGGGAGCGGTCGGCGACATTTTCATTTAAATGCGCTCCTCTCCCCTCTTAGGCTGCACAAGGGGGTTCAAGCAATCTATGTGAATATAATTTCTTATAAATGTGTCTTTAATGGGTTTAATTCACCCTTGCCAGCTGTTTTGGGGCTATTTTGTACGAGCAAAACAAACGTTTCAGGCTTGGAAAGCTAGTTAAAATTAGTTTCGGTCAGCGAGGCCAAGCTATATTTCCTGCAAACCATCTGCTTGATTGGCACAATAGAAGGATTTTCAAGGGGGAAAAAAGGGGGCTGAGTGTGAAAGGAACGGGGAGTGGGGGGCGACGCTGGAAAGGGCTGGAGCGGCCGGTGGCTCCTTGTGGCCTATTCTGAAGGTGAAGCCGTTATAGGTGTCTTAAGAGAGGCCCGGGCCGCCGCCGGCTGGGCGGCCCGCGAGCCCTTTGAGCTCCCTCCTCCAGGCCCTCGCCGCTCCCCGCCCGCCCGCCGGCCGCCCGCCTGCTCCCTCGGCCTCCGCGGGACCCGGGAGGCCGGCGCTGAGCGCATCTAGGCTTCCCGCCCAACCTTGCAAAATGCTCGCTCAATTGGCGGGGCCTTTACGGCCCGGAGCCCGGAGGTCTGGGGACCAAAAACCTGCAGAGAGGCCTTGGGGATCCAGCTTGCCCGGAACAGACGCTGGTCATCTTCCGATCGCCAGGATCCCCTGTGGCCGGGGCATAGGGCCACCCTGCCCCTCCCAGAACCGGTGGCGGAGGAAAGCCCTTCCTGCCGATCCCGGGAGGTTTGGGCAGCTTGGGCCCCGTCGGTCCCGAGTCCCCCCAATCCAGCCTCTGCTCAGGCGAGGATCTTACCTCCAAACCCGAGCCCCCAGCCTTCTTTCGGTTCCCCCCTCCCCCTTCTCTCTTTGCCCGGGAAGAGAGACGGAAACCCTAGCCTCGGATCAAGAAAGCCGGCGACTTCTCCTAAATAAACTCCAAGATAGCGACATTACAATGAATTGCAGGACGCGCAAAACCCCATGGGCTCAGGTCAAACCGCACTGGTCACAGGTCTTAGCCGCCGCACCGCGCAGCCCCCTAAGCGACCGCGCAGTTTGAAAAGATGGCGTTCAAGGAGCTCACTTAAAGTAAGATCCTTTCGTCTGATTTCTTGCTTCCTTAGGATTCCTTTTGCTTTCTCACAGGCGACTACCCCCAAATCTCCCCCTCCTCCCCGCCCTCTTGGAAGTCTGAAGAATTCTTTCGGGGGCCCAGGAGACACACTACACCGCAGGAAGCGGGGTCCACGTGGATCGCAGCAAGGGGCTGACCCACCTTCCCCAAATGGTCAGGGCCCTCTTTGAAAAGCTGAGAAGTTAGCAACAGTCTACAATTCGGCAGAATGGCAAAATGCCCTGTGTGTGTGTGTGTGTGTGTGTGTGTGTGGCCAGTGGGAGTAATAACAAGTCTATGGACAGAATGATAACTTAAAAAAGGAAGTGGGGAGCTAGATAAGAATGAGGCTAGTGCGTCCTTGCCTCCTCATGCCCCCCCCTCCTCGCCCCCCCACGAAATCTTGAGTTTTTCTGCAAGCTTAGTCTTTCCCAAGTCTTTCTGAAGGCCATCCAGCGCTTCCCAGAGAACGAAATGAACACCTGTAGCGTCTGAGCGGCCTTCCCAGACCTCGGCCACCGCTAGCCTTCAGACCGGAAAAGCTGGAGTGGGGTGGGGCAGAGAACGCAAAAACTAGAGCAGATCCCCACGCGTCCAGAAAATCGTGAGTTTTGGGGGAGTACGGAGAGCTGGCTGGAGATTTCATTGGAAACCCTTGCCTTGTGGCAAGGTTAAAGAAGTGCAGCTGTTCAAGTAGTTTGGTTTTCTTCCGTATTTTAGTGCAAAACTTCAACAGGTAGAACGTTTTATGTTTTTTCGACACATGCCCCTATTCCCTTTTTACAAGAGCCTCCAATGAACTGGAACAATACACTTCCCATATTTAAATAGGCCCCCTTTTTTCCTTTTCCCCCCAGCTCCGGTTTCTCCAGTAGAGCTGCTCAGGACTCCACGAGCTGCACTCGCATTATCTGCAGGCATTAATTCCAGCCTTCAGAGCCCTGGCCTAAATAACTTTTTAATTCGAATCAAGGGAGAGCTTTAGCGTGCTCCGTCTCTGGTTTAATGTGATATAAATCGCAGATGCACTTTTATTGAACGGTTAAAGCAGCGACATGGAGATCATCAACACAAAACGCCCCGAACAAAACCATCGAGAGAAATAAAGCTGGTTAATAAGATTTTTGAGAAAGCTTTGTGTTAAAAAGCAAAAAGGAAAACCAGCTGAAGGTGACAGTTCATGGTTAATAGGATCAGGGCAGCCTGGCGGGGCTGCACACTTCTCTTTGGGGAGGTTCAACAACACTATAGAAATGAATGGGACATTTAACACATCTGTTATCTCAGCGAGTCCGGAATGGAGAATCGAGGCTCAGGGCTACCCGAGCCCCGGCCCAGAAGGGACTGTGTCACGGGAGATTTGTTTATGGCCCCGAGTTAAGAAGAGTGTTTTCTCCTGTGGCCCAACATTCCTGGGCTCTTCGTTCGTGCGTTTGTGAGTTGCAGTTAATTACAGGGAGCAAAGCCTGGGCCAAGTCAGGAGCTCTGCCATGCACGGACTTTTCCTGGACCGCTCCAGACGTGGCTGCGGCGACTTAAAATGTCCCTTCAACGCCAACTGCCCAGTGCTCCTGGAGATTGGGAAAAGGCCAGCATGGCGCTCCGGAGAGTTGAGGTGGCGTGCCCTGCGGTCTACTTCCGGCGAGGTAATGGTCCGCGGGCCAGTGGAACGCTCTCTCGCAGCCGCAGCGCCAACCCCCGCCAGGCGAGCCAGCTGCGGGGCTCTAGATGCACAGATTCCCAGAGTGGCTTTGCTAGGGACTGTTTGCAACTTGCTGGGAGTTTGCAGGAGGCTCATTTTTACTCTTGTCTCAGCCAACGCTCTCTAAGGCAAGGTGTCTCTGGAAACAAAATAACCTAAATCCAGACATCTCCCCACTCCTACAGGCACACAACCCATAGCCCCGACCAGCAATTTCCACCTTCCCGGGGTGGTTAGAATGGCACCCCTCCGCCCCATCCCGCAGTGCCTTAGCCCACTCCTCCCATTTGTTGTAGGTCTCAGCTAGGGTATCGCACAGGGCTAGAGACCGAGGGAAAAGTATATATTTCACGTTCACTGACTTGAAATTTTCCATTGTCTCCCCCCAAGGGGGAGGGGATTATTTTACTGATAGTCCGGAGATGAGTTCTATGAATATTTATTGATTTATTGCCTGGCTCAGCAGGGGAGCTGCAAATAAATTTAGTGCGTTCTTTAAGTAATTCCTTTTCTATGAGGCAAGATGTCATCTGAAACTTCTAAATAGGCATTTAATTAGCCCGGGTGTTGCATCCGAACAAAATCCCCCAGGCGAGAGCTTTCAGGGCTCACTGTATTGCAAAGAGGCGGTCGATATGCAGAATTGATGCTCGCGGGCCTTTGTTGCCAGCCCATTGTGCGGGCCATGCTTATGAAGACTAATCCAATCATAAATTGCACCCCTGCGCCAATCAGAGCGCCCAGCGCCCCCCAGCGAATGAAGCTCGAGTGGAGAACTTTGTTGAGCTGCATTGTCAGACCTGTCACTTTTCAAAGCGCTGGAGCAGGCGGGCCACTATAAAACCACCACCTCGACTGGCAGACCGCGGAGGACTCGCATTAGGCCGCAGGAGTGGGACCTTGGTTGGGGGCGTTGGCCAAGCCCCTGAGAGAGGGCTCCGCGGGGGCGGGAGGGGCAGGAAGCGAGGCACTGACCCACGGGGCCGCTGGAAGAAGGCTTACTTACTCCTCCTGCTCCGGCGCCTAAGATGATGTTCCCCGGCCTCCTCGCTCCCCCTGCGGGGTACCCCAGCCTCTTGCGCCCAACGCCCACCTTGACGCTGCCCCAGTCCTTGCAGTCGGCGTTTTCTGGCCATTCCAGCTTCCTAGTGGAGGATCTGATACGCATCAGCAGACCCCCCGCCTACCTGCCCCGCAGCGTGCCCATGGCCAGCATGTCACCGTCCAGACAAGCGGCCCCTGCGACCCTCACCGACACGGGGCCCTCAGACCTGGGCTCCCCTGGCCGAGGCAACCGGCGGGGCGGCGGCCCACAGACAACGGTCTCCCCAGCCAGGGAACCCACGTTTCTGAAGTTTGGGGTGAATGCCATCCTCTCCTCAACGCCCAGAGCAGGTAAGTGAGGCCGGTCGCTGAGGTGTGAGTTGGCCCAGGTGTGAGGCATGCGTGAGTTCCCCTCTGACCTCAGTTTTCCGCAAGCAGCGGGCAACCCACACACACATCAGAGCTCACAGGAGTTCCAGGGGCTGTAAAGCGGGCAATGTAAGTCAGAGCTCACCAGATTCTGAGAAAGAAATGTCCCAGGCTCCCTCCACCCTCCCAATGAACTTGAAAAAAATGAAGCCTGAAAGGGCGCAGCTCCTGGACCGCGCTGCTTCTCTCCAGTGTGTCTGGGAGGCGGTTTCTGTCAATCCCAAGATCATCTAGTCACCTACTTAAACTAGTGTCTCCTGGGTGCTGAAGTCTTGTCTTTCCCGGGCTGGCCCCACTTGTCTCCGAATGAGGCTGGAGAGGGGCGGGGTGGTGGTGGAGGAAGATGCGTCGAGGTAGGAGAAGGATCTCAAGAGATGAGTCAATACTAGGGAAAGATGCCTGTGGCTATCAGTGCGTTGAGGAAGCCAGCCGAGGGCTATTCATGTCATTTGTTGAATGTGTTGTACAATAATCAATTACGTACCCAAATCCCTCGTCTATCCTCCCCCCCTCCCTCGGTCTGTCACAGAAACGTCGCCCGCCTTGCTCCAGAGCGTCCCTTCCAAGACCTTCACCTTCCCGTACTTTGAAGGCTCCTTCCAGCCTTTCATCAGATCTTCCTATTTCCCAGGTAGGTCTCATCCCCCTTCCTTGGGCAGGGCTGGGTGACGCTGCAGCCTGGACCGGACGCTCCCTGCCCCGAAGCCATATTTCTCCGTCCACCACTCGGGGTTACGCTCTGGTTCAGAGGTTGCGAGGCGTACAACATTAACGAATCCGTCGCGCCAATTTGATGCCCTATTTAGCACAAGCAGTGACTGCTTGACACTTTGCACCAATTCCCTGCTCTACAAATTAGCAGGAATTGTCATGGTCCCAATTTGAGGCGGTTCCCTTCCCGGCGAGGCGCTGTTGGCATCCCTTCACTCCGCCGTTTTCCCACAGAGTCGGTGCACTTGGCCACGATCCCTACAAAGGTTTCAGCACCATGACCAATTGGTCAGCTCCTCCGGGCAGCCACACACAGACCGGCCCTCGCCCCTCCACGCCGCCGGGAGACACCTACCAGCCGGGGCTAATTTCTCTTTAAGACTCATTCAGAGCATCGGGCTTTGCACAAGACCACATGGGGTGCCCTGTTGTGTGGGGTGCTTGGGGTCGCCCAGTGGGAGGGGGACTAGATCCTCCCCACCCCCACCCCTCAATCTCCACCTATTTCCAACCAGACTTCCGTAAGGGTTTCTTCCTGGAATCCCAGTGGCGCTTCAAATCTGGGTCTGACTGGTCAAAAATCCAGAGGGAAGGGGGCAAAAGAGCCCCTCTAAAGGGAAGAGGGACCAGGCATGTGCGGTGGGGGATGGGTAAAACCACAACCGTGCTCTCAAATATCAGCAAAAGAAACAAGCAAGAGATTTTTTTTTAAGACAGGGAGAGAGACTTCACCAACAGTCACCCCCCCCACACACACACACACAACCATTCATGCTGCTGCTAATAATGGAATTTGCTCCCTTTCTCCCTCATCTCAAAGCTCACACAAAAACCACCCGAGCTTTCTAAGTAGCTTTTCATGTCCGTTTAATGAAAACGATGGAGGAAGAGAAGCCTCTGCCATCAGTATTCTCCCAATGGTCTTGGCCCGCAGTTGTGTTTAGTTTGAAAGTGTAAATCTCTTTTGTCCCAGTAATAGATGGCTTTCGCTGCTTGTCCTCAGTCTTTTTCTGTTAGTTCATTACTACACAATTACCATTCACGCTTCATTAGAGTCTCTGTCTCTTTGGGGTTTTCCCCCTTCTTCTTCTTCTTCTTCCCTTAAAGCGAAACTCTTCCCCTTTTTATCATACCAATATCCATTGGGGGAGCGGTCAATGTGCAAATTAGCTGCCACTTTTCATGTATTAGGGCCTGAATTCTTAACGTGTTGTTGGGGGAGGGGAGCAAAGATTAATAAAAAGATGAATACGGATGGGTTAAAAAAAAATTCAAAGCGGATTTTCCCCTATCAAACCAGTCAAAGAATGATTTTTTTTTAACATCCAAAGAATGCAAAAGCCACCAAGGTGCTAAAAACGTGGTCTGGTGGGGGGTAGCCAGTGGCATAGGTCGGAGATTTTCTCTGTGTAACGTCTTGATTCGAGATTCGATCGCTATCTTAACTGATGCCCATAGTCCGTTTCCCGGAGAGCTTTGAAAGGGAAAAACGAAGCCGGCCGGCTATTGTAGGGGCTGGGTTCTGGGTTTCCGTGGTTTTATCTAATCCGAGTTTGCACGGTTGAAAGGGAAAGTTATTTGGGCGGAAAGCGCCTTTCTCTCTCGCAGGTTTGTAGGTTTGGGCCCTATTCTCCAGGGGGAGAAAAAAGGCGAGCTTGAAAGAGATGAAGGGGTCTGAGATAGGGTTGGGGGAGGGGTGGAGGACGAAGGAGGCCTTAATGGAGGGGTGAGACAGTGCCCTCTAACTCCCAGGCCCCCTCCCGCCCCCGCAGCGTCCTCCAGCGTCGTGCCCATGCCCGGGACCTTCTCGTGGCCGCTGGCCGCGCGTGGCAAGCCTCGCCGGGGCATGCTGCGGCGCGCAGTGTTCTCGGACGTGCAGCGCAAAGCACTGGAGAAGATGTTCCAGAAACAGAAGTACATCAGCAAGCCGGACCGCAAGAAGCTGGCGGCCAAGTTGGGCCTGAAGGACTCGCAGGTGAGGAGGGCAGTCTCCGCCCCGCAGCCCCCACCCCGTCCACCCGACACCTTAGAGAGGCGGACCATTGTACACATGGGGAGACTGAGGCCCAGAAAGGAAGTAAGCGGCTGCGTGAGCTTCCTCAAGGCCTCTCAGGGCAGTCCCCAGCCCCGGGACTGGAGCAGAGATGAGCTCAGGTGGGTGCCCCGAGGCCCATCAGAACTCACTCCAGCAGGTGGAAGCAGGACGGGTAGGTAGGAGGGCATCTCCCTGGCCCCCACATTGCCACCCTGGGACCTTCACTGGCCAGGTCTCACCTCTGCGCCCCTCCCCCCGCCCCAGGTGAAAATCTGGTTCCAGAACCGACGAATGAAATGGCGGAACTGCAAGGAGCGCGAACTGCTGTCCAGCGGGGGCTGCCGCGAGCAGACCCTTCCCACCAAGCTCAACCCGCACCCGGACCTCAGCGACGTGGGCCAGAAGGGTCCTGGGGACGAGGAGGAGGACGAGGGCGCCGACAGCCCCCACCGCCGCCTGGCCTATCGCGCGCCCCCCGACCCCCGGCTCCTGCGCGACCCCAGCCTCCAGGGGCCGCTGCCGGTGTCCCCGGCGCACTCCAGCAGCCCCGGCAAACCTTCGGACTTCTCCGACTCCGAGGACGAGGAGGAGGGCGACCAGGACGAGGAGATCACGGTTTCTTAGAGGCCCCTCCCCAGCCCGGGGCCTGTGGTCAAGGGCTTGGCAATGCAAATGGCGAGGTACCAGTCTGCCCTTGGCTTTGTCCCCTCCGCCCAGACTTTGCGGCTTCCCACCGTGGAACCCTCACCGAGTCAAGGTGCCACTGCCTCTTCCAAATGAGACACCTGGCCAACCCTCCCCGCCGCCTGCCCCCACCCCGCCGCGCCCCAACCCCCCGCCCCCTTCCGACAGCCCCCTCCAAGCAATTTCATTTAGATCTGAGTCTAGGTCTTAACTGTCCTAGATGGGTGCCTTTCTATCTTGTTTATTGTAAACTACACACCATGGAAGGAGCTTTGTCTGCACTCTCAGGACTTGGAGAGACCGGAGGGAAGGGGTCCAGGACCCAAGAATGTCGCTCCTGTCATGAAAGGCTTAGTTATGAGCCGAGTCCCTGGGTGGTGCTGAGGATGATTAAGCCCTGGACTACTTACAGCTGACCCACCCAAGGCACACCTGGCAATCTGCTAAAGGTCACAGCCTTAGGAACTGCCCAGGACAATTCTACTCTGCACACATGGGGTCATCAAATGGACACCCCAGCAACAGCTATCGGATCTTGGGGGTACAATCAGACCCTGCAACTCTTAATAGCACCTGCCCTACAGGGGGTACCCACTGTATCAGGTTCCAATCAAAACAAATCTAACTCAAAGGCCCCTGACTTCTGTGGTCCCGATACCTCCCTGTCCCAGGTAAAGTTTCCATGTGGGCCTCCTACCCGACTCCAGACGGGTAACCCCCAGCTGCCCATAGCAATTCCATTAGAAAGCTCAGTGTTTAAAAGGAAACAACAACATGTCTCTGTTCCTTCTGGTCTACAGCACAAAGGAAATACTGAGTCATTTTGTCATATTCCAAATCCTTTCATGGAAGAAAAGTGAGTTCCCCAAATGGCGTGTGTGTGTGGGGGGGGGGGGAACAAACACACTGCCATTGAGTCCACTCTGCATGCTAACAGGCCTCTCGGACAGGGTGGACCGCCTCTGTGGGTTTGCGAGACCGTATCTCTTGACAGGAGTAGAGAGCTTCAGATCTTCCTGCTGAAGAGCTGCTGGTGGTTCCTGACTGCTCTGTGTCTGTGTGTGTATTGGAATGCCTTTCCTTCGTGACTGCTGCATTCCCGGGATCTGCACCTTCTGCCATGTTCGCATTTCCTGAGAGAGGCTCTGAGTTGAAGTGTTTCTTGCACTGGCTGGCTATCGTGTAGACACAGAGAGCTCTACAAGCTTCTTTGATTTTTTCGCCACTGAACTTTGCTGTCTTTGCACAGCTTTTAAGACGTGTACACTAGTTTGTACACAGGTGTTGTATGGATATTTCATACCAAGGTTATTATGAATGACTATAAAGAATTGACTAGATTTCTTTGCTTTTTTTGCGATGGTTTTTAAACTTGAAAAAAAGGTAGCTGTTTCATTGCATAACTTATAAATACTTATTTTGTATTTTTACCATGTACAGATTTTTATATATGTATATATGTATCAAATGAATAAATGCCAAATAAAAAATGTAGAATGCATACAACGGCCAAGTGATGTCATTGATCCACAGAACATTGGCGATGAAAGGAAAAGCGTTATTCGGGGCTGTGCCGAATGTAAACAGAGATGCAAGTGGGGACGACACTTATCCAAAGCCACCCATCTACTTAGGGCTCATCTCAGACTTCTGGTCATTGTCTTTTCTGCTCTGCCTGATTGTCTTACACAACCCCATCTTTGGGTACCACTTTTGGCATGGATCATCACAAGCACATCGAAAGTAGCTCTGACAAAGTAGCAGCCAAAGATGGAGTTGCAAAATGGTGCTGTGTCTCAACCGGAACCCGAATACTACCAAAAAGAAAGCTCTGTGGTATAAGACAATACGTCAAATTATGAGCATCAATAACGCTGGGAGAAAGATGGCTTTTGCCATATTTTCCTTCGTATTGACCATTTCAGCCATTTTTCTTAAAGTATTTTTTTTTCCTTCGGTAAACTTGCTATGTCACTTTTAACTTGTTCAGAACCTGCAGAAGTGGATTGTGCAGCTGTGGACTGAGAAAGCATGTTCTTCTAATCTCTCCCCTTTGAGCCAACAAGCCATCCCTAAGTATAAGAAAAAAAGATTGTGAATAAATTTTCTTATATTTTGAAATGCAGACCATTTTGAAGTTGTTTGCAATGTAGAGAACATTGGGGAAGGATTTAAAACTATCTTTGCCCGACGATGAAGAATACCGACCTCTTATCGTGTGGCTATGTCGACTCAAGGAAAACTTTGGGATTTCAAATCACCCTTTATTGAATAATAATGAAGTTAAAGCCGAACCCCCTGTCTTGGAGTAAATTCTAACTATAATTAAATCATAGAAGAGACTTTATGGAACAGAGTAGAACTGCCTCACGCCATTTCCAAGCCTTTAAGGGTTTCTGTGAGGGGGCTGCCACATCTTTCTCCTGAGGAACAATTGGTGGGGTCAGACTGCTGACCTTTTGGCCAGAAGCCTGGTGCTTTAACCCCTGGGCTGCCAGGCTCTTTAGAACGAGGTGCCGCTATTGTGCGCGTGATCGCCAAAGGAAACAAAGAGGAGCAGAGCAGAAGACTGAGGGTGAAAAGAATTGACCTCTAAAAATGTTCACTAACTCTGTGATGTATCCTAACTCTGCCACTTTAGAAACCGCCAGAGTACACAGCTTACACTCCATTCGTTGTCCGAAGGAGACTTCATGTAGCCACTGAAAACTCCACCCCACAGGTCTGGAAAATGAGAGGGAAAAACGACAGATAACTGCTTAGCATAAAGGAAAATAACTTTGACCTCGTGACCCCTGAGGATCTTAGAGACCCTCAGGTGTTCCCAGACCACAGCTTGGAACTATTGCACTTCACTGAGGAGAAAGGTAACTTTTACCACGCTCCTTTGCCACTGAGCTACAACCACACACAGGCTTTCCACAGGGCTCCAGCTCATTCCATTCTCTTATCCATTCCTCCTTCCTTTCCTCACCTCCCTTTAGTCTTGACTCCCATTCAGGCCCATACTTCTCACGGGAACCTTTCTATCAGCATTTAAGCTCTTATTCAACTCTATCAATAAACCACCTTACACACACCCCCACCAAAAAACCCCACGCCCTTTCCTCTTCCTGCTTACCCCTAGCGAGTGCTTGCCTCGCCTTGCAGAGCTCTTTGAGCCTCACCCTTGCATTCCTCATGCCAGCACTGCCCTCGACGGCCCCAAGGCTCTCTCCTAACTCCTAGTTTCTTCTCCTTCTATGAACCCATGGAATGGGGTCCTCCTCTCCTCTCTGGTTTCAATGAACATTTGTAGGATGGTGGCCCCCAATCTGACACTTTTTCTCTTTAGTCCCAGACCCAAATAGTCAACATATTCTAGCTATTTTTCTTGGATATTCCCTAAATCCTGGATATCCCACATTGCCAAGACCAAGTTCCATGCAATATTCCAGCCAAACACACAAACAAAATCAAGGACTACTCTTGTCTCGAATTCTATGAATGCTTTTATCGCTCTTGTTCATGGTCACAGGCCTGAGGGTCATTCCTACCTCCTCCTTCTCTCTCATTTGCCCCATACAGCCAAGTAACCTCTAAGAAAATAGATTCAAAGGCCTTCCTTGTTCACTCTGGTCCTAAACCCATACCCTGCCCCAGGCACTTACAGCATCGAGGGAAGTTTTGTGGAGGGATTTGCCCCAAACATACAAAGACTTTATGATTTGGGGAAGGTGTCCCCTTCCCACTGAGTTCGAGCCCTTTCTGAGTCACAGGGACCCTAAGGGATAAAGCAGAGCTGGTCCTTTGGGTTTCTGGGGCTGTAAATCTTCAAAGCCGAAGCAAGCCTCATCTTTTTTCCTGTGGAGCGGCTGGTGAATTCGAAGAGCTGACCTTGCAGTTAGCAGCCCAACGTGTAACCCAGCAGAGCTCCTTTGGGGGGGTGATAGGGGAGCAAAAGAAGCTCTGGTGGCATGATGCTTAAGCATCAGTGCTAACCAGAGGTTGGTGGTTCAAACCCACTCAGAGGCTCCCTGGGAGAAAGAGCTGGAAATCAGGTGTGTAAAGACTAGAGCCGAGAAAACCCTATGAGGCAGTCGGTTCTGCTTTGCTCAGGGAAACTAACAGCAGCATGGAGAGAAAATGATATGCTTTCCTGCATCAAGAAAGACATAAAAGACAAAGCAGAGGGGGGAACGGGCTAGGAGCGTATGTGCGGACAGTGAGGTTGCCGATATTTTCACTCAGTGGTGATGCATTAAAACAAGCAGCTGGGAGGCATATTTCCAAAATGGCTATTTCTGTCCTTTGCATACAAAAGAAGGACAGTAATGTCCATTTATTGAGTCATGGTGTGCTAGGCAAAATACTAAAGCTTTACTTTATATCTAGCCTCTGTTATAGCCCACATAGAAAAATCAATAGCTGATATGACAGTCTGAAACTGAAGCTAGTAGCTTTTCCCATATCACCCAGCAGCTGAGGGTAAGATCTGAGCTCGTTCTCCCTCCAGGAAGGGCAGAGCTGGTTTCCATTGGGAGTAGCCCGGGACTCCATAGGACAGCGTGAAACTGTCATTTAGGGTGTCCAAGGTTGTCATCTTTACAGACCACCACGCGCCTGCCAGTTTGACATACTGTGGTGGCTTGTACGTCCCTATGATGCCAAAGCTGTGCCACCAGTGTTTCCAATTAACAGGAGGGCGACCCATGGTGAAGAGGTTTCTACCATTTCCTCTGGGAAGAAGGAGCTAATGATCTCTTTCTTTAAAAACAGGCCACTGAGAACCTGGCGAGCAGCGGCAGAGCCCGGTCTGAGTCCCTCAAGTTGGGAGCCATCAAACTCAGATGGGGAAAGAGCCACTCTTTGCTGGGGGGTCGACCTTGATGACGTGAATGGAGTAAAGCTTTGGGGACTTCCATTTGTTGATGTGGCATGGCGTAAAGTGAGAAGAAAAC